CCCCAAAACCCCAAAACCCCAAAACCCCAAAACCCCTTAAGTCTTATTTTTAGTTGAATATGAGCTTAAACTGACTTTATGGCAAAATAAAGATTTAGAGTGGAGAATTTTATGAATGAGCTCAGGAGTTAAGAGGAGAAGAAATAATGTTTAGAAAATAGGACAAAATAGATGAAGAAGATGAGATAGATGGGTTTGAATGCTTTTATATGTGTTTAGAAAAGGATTCTGGATGATATTACGCAAGTCAAACTAAACCACCTTTATTTCTTTCAAATAAGAGTCTTCTTTTGGGTTCTAGACTTCCAGATTTCGATGTAAAATAGTAAAAATTCAGCCCTCTCCGCCCATATTTTTTCCTTCCCTAATGAAGGCCTTCTCTTCAGATCAGAAATTCTTAAGTCGAATTTAGTTTTCGAATTGAAAGAGTAATTAGTTAACCTCCTATTATCCCTTCTTGGTCGATTTTATTCTTGATAGCACAGTGGCGCTTGATATGCTTATCCAGATTGCCTCTCTGAATGAACTTCTCTTCACAGTACTCACACTGATATTTCTTGATCTTGAAATGCACTCTAAGATGCATCACAAGGTTTTGGGCTCTGTAGAAGCCTTTTCTGCATTTTTCGTACTTTCAGAAATATCTCATGGATCTTTTGACGCCTCTCTTTTTTCTTCCCTTCGAGACTTGATGATAGTATCCTTCGTATTGGAGTAATTCTTGTGAGAAGACAATTTTTGTCCTTTTGCAAGGTCTAAGTTTAATAAATTACACTGATATATCAAACAGGCAGAAGTTCTCCCTGAAAGACCAATACGCTTATGAATAACTAGCATAAATTTTACTTAAAACGATTCTTAACCCTCTTATTTCAGCTTAAATTTAAATTTCTTCAAATAAGGAGTAAAGTGACTATCCCTCTCATACTACGTCTTTTGCAATTATTTATGTCCATGAAGCACTAGGATAAGCCCATGGCCACCTACATCAGGCCTTCTTAATTCCATGTGATTACTTTTCTACTGAATTTATCCAGTCAAGGTTTTCTAGTAAGGCCTCTCGACTAATCTTGCAAATCGTGTGAATAACTTTATATATTAAGAGCTTACAGGCTATCATTGCGGTATGTTCTGATGCTAACAGAATTAGCTAAGCAAGACCCTCTAATTTAGAATAAAGGGCCTTAAAAGATCCTGGCAAGCTATGATAAGTACTATTCAGTTCTAGAAAATTAATCCTTTTACATAAATTGGTGGCTACACTTCTACAATTGTATATATTTGTGAGTTCAACTCTTAGAAAAAGCATGGGCTAGCAGTTTATGTTAATTAACGGGTCTAAAAATTGACCAATAACTGAAAATTCCAAACATACAAGATTTTTATTAGAAGATTTTGCACTATAATACCTGAATTTGACTGAAACTTTTAACGAAAGCTTAAAAATCAATTCTAATAAATTTAAGGACTAATTTCTCCATAAAAAAGTTTATTGACTTTTCTCAAGCCGAAAAATAAGAGGCGGATAAGAAGAGCAACGTTTATAATTAGGAACATGAATGTTTGAAATCAAAAGTTGCAGAGATATAATAAAGAATTCTTTTAAACTGCGATATGAAGTTCAATATCCTTCTTATTTATCCTATCATTGGTAAACTAAATAAGTTTAGCTTAGATAATATTTGCCAAATAAGCTTTGAAATTCAGCCATAATGGTACAAACCCTTCTGCAACATGATAGCAAGTGCTTGTCGGATAAGAGAATAACGTTTATAGATGACATTAAAACATGCCATTTGGAAAACACCGGTTAATTCAATTTGATGTAAAATCTATGCTAAAATATTACCTTTGAAGTCATTCTTTTTCCTCAGCTCGATCAAGAATAGGTTCGGCAGACTTCCCTGGCTCTTCTATTTCTTTCGAAGACTCACTTATAGATTCTTTGTAAGCTTTTGACACTCCTTTGGTTTGGAGAGGAGCCATTTCTGTAATGTCTGACTGTCCAGAGTTCTCACGATTGAAGAAATTCATACCAAAAAGACATCTAGGATCTGGCTGAAGTTTAGTGCTTGAAAAGACATTTCCTGAAGGCCTAGGACTCGGTAAAGACCTTGCTTGACTCTTATCACAAGCTTTATGATAGTATTGGTCAAAGGCAGTAGAAGAATTATTATCATGAAAATTTTGTCAAACGGTGTTAATTGAGCAAAAGTCAGATTCATCAATCACACCAACTTCTTCAATGATTGCTGGGACTAGGATCCCTGTGTTATCCAATTTGAGAAATGCTATATCGCCTGCCCTGAGTTCAGAAAAGTCTGATTTCTTCAATACTATAATTAAACTGTGAAACATTGTTCGTTTGGAACCCACTTAAAACGTGTTTCTATGGAGTCTTCTTAATTAATGGACAAATTCTTTGAAAATAATAGAATCGATCTAGCATAGATAAACTGAGAAGTTTAAGTTTGCAGCTAGTTCTGCTTTATAAGAAGTTTTGAAAGAAATCCGGCTTTCATAGCCTGGTCACCTAAATAATGCTAAAATTTGAAAAAACTAAAAACTCATAAACGAGCCATTTTAGACTCTTTAAGCATTTCTTTGGTAAAGGAAGGGATATGTATAATGCCTCTCTTTATATACCACGTGATTTTCCCTAAACGTCCTCTTTTCAAAACCACTGGGCTTGCTCGAAAAGATTTTGGGTCAAGGAACAACTAACTTTCTCGTTCTGCTTACCATTATCGACTTGGAGGTTAGAAATAATGGGCATATTTATTTCCTGGAAGCTTGAGTTGTAATAAGGCAGCCCTTCACTCATGCTAATAGCGTTTTGAAATCTTGTGGGAAAACTATTGCTTGTATTAATCATAAATAGTAATTAATAATCTTTCCACAACAAGTTAAGGTACTGGGGTTTTGGGGTTTTGGGGTTTTGGGGTTTTGGGG